CAAGCAGGGCAGCCGCCCCCGGCGCCTGTGGGCTTCCAGTAAATGATTCATCACCAGCACCTCTGCTGTCCGCGCCGAGCGAGCTGCTGCGAAGGACGAGCCCAGCACGGCCCCCCCGTCCATTAACGCACCCCCCTCTGCGCTCAGACCTGCAGATCGACCGGCAGCTGCTCCACGTGCGTGCTGCGAAACGAGGCGTTGGGGGCAACGTCAGGCTCACCCCGAGCAGGGACAAGGATGGAGAACCAGCCCGGCTCTCCGGGAGAGCCTGGCACAGAGTCAGACCAAGGGGGAAAAAAACCCAGGAGAGCCGTCGCCCGCAGCTCCGCCGCCGGCAGAGCCCAGCTCGCTGCGCTGGCACGGCCGGGCTCACGGCACAGTAACAGCCATGTAAAAGCTCAGGCCTTCTTCAAAGGGGCAGCTCCCCGGCAGGCAGGGAAATGACTTCCCCGGTGCGCCCGCTCTGTATTTTAAAAGCCCGCGTGGCTACGAAACCTCTGCCCCCGAGGCCCAGTTTCATGCTGCACGGGCAGAGCGCTGCTTTCTCCGCAGATTAAAAGCGTCCCCAGGAGGAAAGGGCTCTGGATTTGCAGCTGAAGCCCTGAGCGTCCTCATCAGCAATGCGGAGAGACAGACACGAGCCTCCGTCCTCGCGTCCTGGGCGCGTTCATTCCCGGAGAACGGCGGGGTGTGCGCCCACGTGCGCGTGTAAAGCCAGACCCTTCTGGTCACTCGCCCGTATCTCGCTGCAGCATGACGGATGGCAGGATGAAAAGCAGAGCCCCAAGGCTTTCAGGCGACGGTAGATTAATGATGACATGGCCTTGACCTCCAAAAGGTAAAGGTTATGAAACACTCAAGGGTAACCGGGCTTCCAATTTCATACCCGGAGGGTGAATGACAGCAACCGACGGTTTTATTCTCGGAAACTCCAATCCTCGGACGCGCAGCTGTCACCCACCGCCTTTTTGAAATTCATCTCGACGCGTTTATTCCTCCTGCTTCTTCCCCCTTGCAGGCTCCGGGTGCTGCTACGCCCTCCCGGAGTCGACGCTCCCGTGCACCAGCGAGCGTTCAGAGGGGGCCGCGCGCGGAAGCCCAGGGTTCACA